TGGTCTACGTCAACACACCAAGCATTGGTCTACGTCAACACACCCAGCATTGATCTACGTCAACATACCAAGCAATGGTCTACGTCAACACACCAAGCAATGGTCTTCGCCAACACACCCAGCATTGGTCTACGTCAATACACCAAGCATTGGTCTACGTCAACACACCCAGCATTGATCTACGTCAACATACCAAGCAATGGTCTACGTCAACACACCAAGCAATGGTCTTCGCCAACACACCCAGCATTGGTCTACGTCAATACACCAAGCATTGGTCTACGTCAACACACCCAGCATTGATCTACGTCAACATACCAAGCAATGGTCTACGTCAACACACCAAGCAATGGTCTTCGCCAACACACCCAGCATTGGTCTACGTCAATACACCAAGCATTGGTCTACGTCAACACACCCAGCATTGATCTACGTCAACATACCAAGCAATGGTCTACGTCAACACACCAAGCAATGGTCTTCGCCAACACACCCAGCATTGGTCTACGTCAATACACCAAGCATTGGTCTACGTCAACACACCCAGCATTGATCTACGTCAACATACCAAGCAATGGTCTACGTCAACACACCAAGCAATGGTCTTCGCCAACACACCCAGCATTGGTCTACGTCAATACACCAAGCATTGGTCTACGTCAACACACCCAGCATTGATCTACGTCAACATACCAAGCAATGGTCTACGTCAACACACCAAGCAATGGTCTTCGCCAACACACCCAGCATTGGTCTACGTCAATACACCAAGCATTGGTCTACGTCAACACACCCAGCATTGATCTACGTCAACATACCAAGCAATGGTCTACGTCAACACACCAAGCAATGGTCTTCGCCAACACACCCAGCATTGGTCTACGTCAATACACCAAGCATTGGTCTACGTCAACACACCCAGCATTGATCTACGTCAACATACCAAGCAATGGTCTACGTCAACACACCAAGCAATGGTCTTCGCCAACACACCCAGCATTGGTCTACGTCAACACACCAAGCATTGGTCTACGTCAACACACCAAGCAATGGTCTACGTCAACACACCAAGCAATGGTCAACGTCAACACACCAAGCAATGGTCTATGTCAACAAACCAAGCAATGGTCTATGTCAACACACCAAGCAATGGTCTACGTCAACACACCAAGCAATGGTCTTCGCCAACACACCCAGCATTGGTCTACGTCAACACACAAAGCATTGGTCTATGTCAACACACCAAGCATTGGTCTACGTCAACACACCAAGCAATGGTCTACGTCAACACACCAAGCAAGGGTCTATGTCAACACACCAAGCATTGGTCTAAGTCAACACACCAAGCAATGGTCTTCGCCAACACGCCCAGCATTGGTCTACGTCAACACACCAAGCAATGGACTACGTCAACACACCAAGCAATGGCCTATGTCAACAAACCAAGCAATGGTCTATGTCAACACACCAAGCAATGGTCTATGGTATTGCTATGTCAGCACACAAAGTAATGTTATGTGTCAACACAAAAAACAAATGGTCTATGCCAACACACAAACCAATGGTCTACCATCAGGTACTGATCACAAATCACAAATGGTTAACGGGGAGCTATTCACCAATCAGTCTTATTTACTGAAAGGGGGAAAGACAAAAATGCAAATTTGGGAAATCAATTTCTTGGCACCCTGATGGATAATGTGGAGTTATTTGTGTTTAACAAAGTTGAAGTTAGGATTATTATAGACTGGTTGTTCTGGATTCTAATTTATTTGAAACCCTTTTCTCTGATACTGCACTAAACTTCCTGTTTTTTTTCTATGTGCAGATTTGTTTGACGAGAAAACAGTGGCCAGGTTTGTTCATGCAGGAGTCTATATCCTTTCTGCTGGTGCTTGCGCGCTAATAATCGGAAAGTGTGTAACCCCGCGTAATACCCAGCGCTACCAGAACAATGAGGAGGATACTTCTGAAGACAACCAGGAGAAAGAGGCGTCCGAGGAGGACGCTGAGGCTTAAACAGCGAGAAGATTGACAATAGATCGGATTAATTTCTTAAATTTTAAGCAACTGAGAAACAAATAACTGTTTATTTGATTCTTTACAATCGCAATGATTCTTGGATATAACAGTGACAGGATTATTCGGTAACAATTGTGATGAGAAACACTCAATGTGAACGAATATTCTATAATTAATCGTATTTATTGATACCTAAGTGATTCAGTGACAAAATAGTGTCTGAGCCTTTATGCATGGTACTATTTTTTCTGAAATCCTCTGCGACTTTCTTGCCTTCTGCCTTTATTTTTAGAACATTAAAATGTTTTTCATTTAACTTATCATAGCGCACTAGCGCTCATTATGATATTTGCTTGCAAAGCTGTGTCGTTTAAAAAGATCATAAATGCCATACAAAAACAATTCAATGCTTAATTACAAACTGTAAAATCTTACGTCAGAGATATATTAAGCAGTGTTAATGATTAAGAATGCACGTAGATGTGTTTCAGGCTTGGGATGAACTTTGAAGAAAGGAATAAGGATATTCCTATTTTAAAAAACAGATAAAACGTTTTAGCTCTCCAAATAAAACACTGACTTACATAATCATTCCTCTTAATCTAGAGATGACTATGAAGTTAAAAAAATAAATAAATAAATATTTTACTTAAATATGTGACTATTGTAAATACTCTATAGAAAAATGAGAAAAAAACACAGTTTCTTTTAAAGTGATTAAAAACTCCAAATTACAATGAGTACGATTAAATATTTTTCAGTTTAAATTGATAACTAACTCTTTTACATATTAGATTTACAAACAATCCTAATTGTAAAAATTTTCGATAGAGAAATGGATACAATCGTACATATGTTATGGGAAACATTCCTGACGAGTTTTGAAACAGTGCTGATATGAATGCTTCAATCATATCGTTTTGATTTAAAAAAGATTTTTCGATTTTGAGTGTATTAAAAAAAAAAAACACAGGTATTATTGATGGAAAAGATAGTGAAATCCTTCTTCTGATTAACCCTACGAGTTGTGTTTATTATAAACCACCAAGGAAAACCATTGTTTCCTGGTCACTTGCCCTCCATGATATTATCCTCTATTCATGTCATCTACATTTTTTCCCTTTTTCGTCTTTTTACTTTACTTTTGCTTTGTTTTTCCTACCTCTTTTTGGTATATTGAAATTTTTCATATATGTTAAATTGATATTTTTCGGTCGCTATTTCGTCCTATAACAATACAGTATATATGCCATATATCGCCATTTAATTAATGTATGTTGGTACGAAATATGTTTTAATGAAGTGATGTAACTTTTAACAAAAGTTTCAGTAACTTTGTATGTACACATACACCTATGTACCACTACACCGTACTGAGAACACATCTTTGAAATAAAACATTTTTAAAAATAAATAGGCTTGTCTAGATTTATCCCTTTTGGGCAAAATGCAAATGTGCTAGTCTTATCAAAATATGCTATGTAATGCCTTTAACAGTATTCTATAACGAAAATCACCATTTGACCATTTGTAAGATAAATGGGAATGCGTTTTCAGTTTCAGAGGAGTTCCGAATAATTCCGATGTGTCTAAAAGAACTTGTTTTTATCAAAATCTTCCCTGGAGTCTTTCGACTAATCGGTTTCAAAAGTGAGATATTTACAATATTTACACATAATACAATACCACAACAACACTATGTAAACAGTACGGAGAGTGTTACCAATTTAGATGATCGGTTTCTTCTTATGTTATCAGTTATGAGACACACCTGTTACATGTTGTACTTTTCAATATTCATTAACGGCGTATTTGTGTTTGGTGGAGAATGAGTAGCCTTATAATGGGAGAAGGTTGGCCGTGTTTACTTGTTTGTAGTAATTAGGCACCTATTTGATATTTTAATTTGATACAACCTGTAGCATGTAATGACAGTTTGAAATGCTTTGAAGCTGAAATTAAAAACTTAAAACATCGCCAAAAAATCAGCTAATAAATAAACACGAAGGATATATAATCATGTGTATATCGGTACTGATAAAGTGTCCAACGCAATTTTGTATACATGTCTTTGGTGTAACAGATATTATTTTGAAGGATAAGTAAAACCCGGATTATAAGTTATGAGTATGATAACTCATTGATGGTCACCTTCTCCCGATTGAAGTAACGTCCTGTAAAAGAAACGAACACGACAGCGACAGCAGACAAAATACACGAAGTCGATACAAAAATTAAAAACGTTTTGAATATTATCTTACTAGTACATTTTAGAGTCGATTGCCCGTCGCCAGACCTAAAGCCTAATAAGGTTGAGACAGAAGGGAATGGTCAAATAAAAAGTTGTGTGAAAACCTTTAGAACAAGATCCCCAGAGGGCCTGTATCGCTCACCTGAATATGTTTAAAAAGTATTGGTATGAAGTAAAACTATAGCACTCCATGGTAGGAGCTGTAAGTACATATTAAATTTCAGAAAGATGCATCCAGTATACTACAGAAGAAGGATTTTGAAGAATTTGATATATTTCCCCTATTGGGCCACGCCCCTCTGCCCCTTTGGAGACCACACCCACTGCTTAAACAAAATTGAGTCCCCTTGGCCCATGGATGATCCAGACTAAATTAGGATATAATCCCTTAATCCCTATGGTGGAAGAAGGATTTTAAAGGTTTTACCTCTATTCCCCTATTGGGCCCCTCCTCCCTTCTGCCCCCAGGGGGAACACACTCGCTGTTTATACGAAATTGAGTCCATTTTTCCCAAGGATGCTCCAGACTAAATTAAGATAAAAACCCCTTAATCCCTATGGTTGAAGAAGGGTTATAAAGGTTTTACCTCTATTTCCCCTATTCGGCGCGTCCCTCAGGTCCAAGGGGGACCACACCCACCGTTTATACAAAATTGGTTTCCCTTTACCCAAGGATGCTCCACACCAAATATGGACCAAATCCTTTCATTCCTACAGAAGAAGAAGGATTTTAAAGAATTTGCTATATTTCCCTTATTGGACCCACCATTTATACAAAATGAGTTCCTCTTCCCCTAATGATGTTTCTGACAAAATTTGCTCAAAATCTACTTGGCCATTCAGGACAAGTAGCGTTTTAAAGGAAAAGTTGACGGACGGACGACGGACGACGGACGCTACGGTATGGCAGGTTCTTCGGACCAGGTGAGCTAAAAAGTACACAAACGGACGGCAGTTATTTACCAGAGAGGTCTCTCTTTCGTAACCAGGGGAAACGTTGGCTTCCATCCTCTCACAAGGAACTGTGTAATGTTTAGCTGACACTTAAAGTGGTAAAAATATCTTTTACTCTTTTGAATAACCATGTACTGATAAAATCTAACATAGCACTTTTGAGCAGTTAAAGGTTAGAATTATCTCTTTGATGTCCTCAGATGTTATAGGGAGAAAGACATAAGTTTGAATATTAGCTATGCACTGGAGTTTCCACCATAATGTCATTAAAAGACTGGTAACAAGAATATTCATCTAAAAGAGAGGATACATAAGTGTCAATAAAACCGTAGTTCGAACTAAAAATAGATAAACTAGGGCAAAAATAAATGTAACACACACATACACACACACACACACACACACACACGGGTGATTCCACCTTTAAAATTTGTATATCCAAGTCTTCTTCTGTGATACGACCAGGTGTCCTGGAAGGATAAGCGTCTTCTACGATACGTTATTGAGCAGCAAAAGAGATCTGAGGGGAACATACGAGATCTTTTCGAACAGAAATATATCGCTTTCTAACACAGTTTATTTGAATGTGTTAACTTTAGCTAGTTTTTTTTACCTTAAGATCCGTATAACCCTATTTGTAAATTCCTCTGTGTTTTTGTTTTTGAGAATGGTAGAATATTGATATTGGGATTTTTTGGAAAAGTATTAGCCGCTAATGTTTACCCATTACAGTGCCATTCGAAGTCATTCAGTACATTTTACAACTGGGGACTCTGACATGATAACAGTATTATCTAAATACAAAATAGGCAATTATTCAAAAAATGGTATATGATTTTGGGCATTAATTATCAATGTTTTACTTCCAATATGCATTATATTTGAAACATTTTCAGGGTAATTAAGATACCCGGTGAAATGAGACGTTTGTTATAAACCTGTCTTGTAATATCTGTTCAGTTTTCTACATAATAAGTTATTGTGGTAAAAGTAAAAAGTAAGGTATTGCATTGACATGTTATACTATTTAATTACCTCATCCACGGAACAAAGCTTTTCTTAAATAAAATAGTTTGGTTGACCAATAAAAAGGCATTTCAATGTTAAACATGTATAGGAAAGAGATAATCAGCTAAAGGGGGAGATCCTGCATTGTAGTATGTCAAAACAGCCGAAAACATTCAATGATTTGTTTACGTATTCGTTCATAATGATATCCACTCCACACGACTTGCTACACTGGCAGTAACACATGCAAACATGCCAAACTTCCCAACTCTGACTGTTGTGGACCGGGAATAGGGTGTTAACTGGAACGGTTCTACCGGAAGAGGAACGGATATGACCCAATCAATGTACATATGAGGCATGTAGGGCAGATATGGCGGGTGCAGGACAGATAGAGCGCGTAGGAGCAGATATTGTCGTCTGCCGATGTATGGCTATGCACAGCTACAATGAAGCAATGTATACGCAAAACAAGTCCTTATCAGGTTCAGTTCTATGGTTATACAAATAATGTACATGGAAAGATAATAAAAAGATACAATTCTATGGTTATACAAATAATGTACATGGAAAGATAAAAAAAGATACAATTCTATGGTTATACAAATAATGTACATGGAAAGATAAAAAAAAGATACAATTCTATGGTTATACAAATAATGTACATGGAAAGATAAAAAAAAA